ATGAGGCACCTGGATGGCCCAGTCAGTTGAGCGTCTGACTTCAGCTCAGGTTATGATTTCATGGCTCGTGAGTTCTAGCTCTGCGTTGGGCTCTGTGCTGTGAGCACAGAGCCTGGAGCCTGCTTCAGTTCCTGTGTCTCCATCTCTCTCTGCCCCTCTGCTGCTGCTGCTGCTGCTGCTGCTGCTCTCTCTCTCTCTCTCAAAAGTAAATAAACATTAAAATTAAAAAAAAAAACACCATTCATCTATCATCTCACATAGGCATATTCATGTTGTTGCAAATGGCAGGATTTCCTTCCTTTTTTGTAGCTGAATGATATTCCATTTTATGTGTATACCATATTTTCTTTATCCATTCATTTATTGATAAGACTCTTAGGTTGTTTCCATAGCTTGACTATTGTGAATAATGCTGCAGTGAACATGGGGATGCCAGTATCTCTTTAATGAGACAGTGATTTCATTTCCTTTGGATATATACACAGAAGTGCGATTGCTGGATCATATCATAGTTTTATTTTTAATATTTTGAGGAACCTCTATACTGTTTTCTGTAGTGGCTGCACTGATTTACATTCCCAACACTGTACAGAGGTTCCCTTTTCTGAACACACTTGCCAGTGCTGCTTTTTACAGATTGGCAAATTGAAGCCCAGGGAAGGAAAGGAAATTAAAGTTTATAGAATGAGTGTATAAGAATTGGGGCTAAAACTCAAGACATTTTGCTGTTATTTAGTATTTTTTTAAACTTTTTTTTAATGTTTATTTTTGAGAGAGAGAGAGTGTGACAGAATGGGAGTGGGGTAGAGTGCCTTTCTCTCAGGCAGAGAAAGAGGGAGACACGGAATCTGAAGCAGGCTCCAGGCTCCGAGCTGTCAGCACAGAGCCCGACGTGGGGCTCGAACTCACCAACTGCAAGATTATGACCAAGCCGAAGTCGGATGCCCATGCCCCAACCGACTGAGCCACCCAGGCGCCCCAAGCTGTTTTGCTTTTAGATTTTTTCCAGTTTTATTGAAAAATAACTGACATACATCAGTATGAAAGGCGTAACAGCATGATGGTTTAAAAAAAAAATTTTTTTTTTAATCTTTATTTATTTTTGAAAGAGAGACGGAATGTGAGCAGGGGAGGAGCAGGGAGAGAGAGGGAGACACAGAATCCAAAGCAGGCTCCAGGCTCCGAGCTGTCAGTATAGAGCCCAACACGGGGCTCAAACTCACGAACAGGGAGATCATGACCTGAGCTGAAGTCAGACACTCAACGCTCAACCGACTGAGCCACCCAGGCACCCCTGTGGTTTTATTTACATATATTGTGAATTGATTACCTCGGGTTTCATTAGCCTCTGTCATCTCATGTAGATACAATACCAAGACTTTTGATAGATTAACTCTGGAAACTCTCTGGAAATTAGAGTGAATTTCTTTTAAATTAATTTTCTGCTACTAGAGTTGGCATGTATTGTGCTCAAGAAGACAGTAAAGTCAATGAATAACTAACTTGCTTAGTGTAACTAGCATTTCTTGTGTATTAGGCATGGCAGAGTTTGGCTTTAGGTTTTAAAATCTTGATATTTGGTTGTTTTACCCTGAAGGGATGTGAAATGATGTGCATTTAAGACAGTCGTGGCTGGATTGCCTTAAGATAGAATTCTTAAAAGTTGTATGACTTGAGTCTTTCAGAGAGAAGTTGTTCTGTGGGTCATGGGATTGGCAGTCCCTGAGGTTTAGTAATAAAAGACTTCATTGATATACCATTTACTGTTGGGTTGGGGGATTTGAAACCATTCCTAAATTTGATGGTAAGTGAAATTAGGATTGATATGTTGCCTTATTCTTTTTTATATTTTGCCTATTATATCTTATTTCTGAGAAACTGTGTTAAAGCCTAAGATGGCATTTCTGTGGGATTACAGTGGCTTTGCTGTATTTATTGCTTCGCCAGAAGGATTTAAAAGCCCGGATCAACAGAGGTCATAGTGTAGTCGCAGAATGCTTTTTTTCCTTCCTCATGATGCCATAGCATTTTCTTTGTACTTTTACTCTGTTTCGCATGATTCGCCTAGTGCTGTGGGGTTATCATGTGTCTGATGTGTCTGTCTCTGCCAATCGATTGAAAGATCCTAGAGGATCAGCTCTGTAGTTTCATTTTTGTAACCCCATAGTGCCTAAATTAGTGTCTTAACCACATTTAGATTTTTTTGTTTTTTTTTTGTTTTTGTTTTTTTTTTTTTAAATTTTTTTTTCAACATTTATTTATTTTTAGGACAGAGAGAGACAGAGCATGAACGGGGGAGGGGCAGAGAGAGAGGGAGACACAGAATCGGAAACAGGCTCCAGGCTCTGAGCCATCAGCCCAGAGCCCGACGCGGGGCTCGAACTCACGGAGCGCGAGATCGTGACCTGGCTGAAGTCGGACGCTTAACCGACTGCGCCACCCAGGCGCCCCTGTTTTTTTTTTTTTTTAAGTTTATTTATTTTAAGAGAGAGAAAAAACGCGTGTCAGGGAGGGGCAGAGAGGGAGAGGGAGGGAGAATCCAAGACAGGCTCCACGCTGTTAGCACAGAGCTTGACGTGGAGCTTGAACCCACGAATGGTGAGATCTTGACCTGAGCTGAAGTTGGATGCTTAACCGACTGAGCCATCCACGTGCCCCTAGGTGTTTCTTATGTGTTTGTGGTATTTCAGTGATGCTGAGAGAATTATTCAATGATATGTCTAGTCCAGGGCCTTGTTTTACTTGTAAGGAAACTGGGAAACACAGTGACTTGCTCCATTTCATCTAGGTGGTTGGAACCTAGCGTTCCAGTCTCAGTTTTGCTGGTTGGTTGGTCCATAATGCCTTGCTGCTCCTTAGCTGCTACTGGTTTTCTACAAACAGGAGGGGTTTTCTACAAAAGGGAGAAAAACCCTGAGAAGACATAAATAAATTACACTCACATTACGGATGTGTTCTACCAGTCAGATATTTTACTTTCAAATTTAAGAGCAGAGGCTTAATTTCTGAAATCCCCCCCCCCCCAAACTTTGTAATACAGAGTTCTACACTTCTCTCAGTCCTCAACCCTAGAAGCAATTTTTTCTATGTTCCATGGGTTAGAAGTGCTGGCAGGAGAAGGAGACTCTTGTCAGTTTCCAGTCACACTTCAGGCACCTTGGGTGGTAAATTCCAATTGTCTGTGATGGTGACAGAGAGTAATGAGACAAGGCTCTTGGCTGAATTCCCCCCCTGCTCCAAATGAGGAAGAGTGATGAAAAGAATTTAACTTCTTAGGAAATCTGGTACTTTGGATGGAATTGTTTTTCCCTCCTCTCCTATTCCCTTTTGCTTATTAGAAAGTATTGATTCTGAAATAGAGAAAGTGAGTTTATTAGATTTGGGGTGGACATTGATTAGCTGTAACCCAATTATAAATCCTCAGAGGGGCATGTTTGTAAACAGTTGCTTCTCACACCCAGAAACTAGTGGTTCCTGCTATTCCCGCTAATCAACTGGTTGAAGCTGAACACATGAAAGGTCTGTATCTACTAAGTTTAGAATTGCATTGCTTTTGATTTATTTTAATAGGATCTTGCTGATTTCCAATTTATTTTCCCCCGATAAGGACAGCTTCCTCTTGACAACCTATTTAAAAGACACAAGAATGTTTTGAACAGAGGCTGTATTTCATGCTTTAAGGTAAAGCCATGATCAATATAGTATAAATTGCCCCAAAGAATCTTCTCTCTCTTTTTTGGTTGTTGTTGTTGTTAGTTTTTTTTTTTCCTTCAGTTTTCTCTGGACCATAGTGCTTATAAAAAAAGGATAAGATGTGCCAAAGATGCTGGATATCTAGTTGGAGAAATTTCCTGTGCTTTGTGTTTTTTGTGCTCAAAGGTAAATCTCCTTTTTGGCTATATATATTAGAGAAAGGCCATGTCTGAGATACAGTCTTTTAGGTGTTGGATGCATCTCTTCCTTAAATAAAATTTTGACTTTGATTTGAAACATAGCACATATTTTCCAAAAGTCACTGAACAAAATTAATTTTGTTCTGCTGCTTTGGGTTTGTCTGGAAGTAAAATCAGCCTCCTTGCTACTGCCCACACTTGCCATTGGATGAGATTAAGTTTCACAACTAGAGCCTAGAATTTAAGAGAGAGACAGGAATTTTGTCAACAGTAGAAAGAATCTGGGAAGTGAGGGGAGATGTGTAAATCCACAGTGGAGACCTGTGGGATTTCAAGTTCTCCCTTGTAAAAACTTGAAATTCCTTTAAACAAGATGGGGAAATTGGGCGTGATTCATGGAATTGCTTCTATAAAAGAATTGAAAAATACTTTGAAGTTTCATCTGTAATAGTGTTATATATATAATTAGATTTGACAGAAGTAGATTGTTATATTTGGTTATTTTGAAATCAGATTTAATTTTTGTCCTTATAACTGCTATTTTCTGCCTTGGGTCTCTTTCCAGAGGAATTTCTGAAGACAGTCAAGTGCAGTGTGATTTATGAGGCAGTGAAGGCCAAGTACTTTGCAGTGCTGAGGACTTACTTACTTTGGGGAAATCAATGGAGCACATCAGTCTGCAGCACACTTCCTGCCTTAATGGTCCTGAGCTCAATCAATACTTGTAATTTAACTTCACCATCGGTCTGTGGGCAATGTGTGCTTTGTAGCCTTCCTTCCATCAACCTCAGATATATGGCCAGATCTATTCTAGTTGGAGCTAGTTACACTTTCTTTCCTGGTTTTGGATCTGGTGTAAGCCTTGTCCACTGGCAGGTTTTAAAGATGTAAAATGTGTTTTGCTGTAGGCCAAGCAATGATTTAAGCCTTGAAATTACCTGGTCAGGGGATGGGGTGTTGGACAGATGCACAAGATCTATTACATGGTTTATCATTTTTTTCTTTTTCTTAGAAAAGTTCCCATTGAGAGCTTTTCAACAGACCATCCAGCATCTTGGAGAGCATTTGAGCACTGACTGTGGCTTTCGTTTCACAGATTCTCTAACCATGGCACAGGTGGAGAAAAGAGGGGGTTTGCTCCGGAAATCTTCAGCTTCCAAAAAACCATTGAAGGAAAAAGTGGTGCTGATGTATGATGAGATCTTCATGGTAAGGCCTGGAGCTCTGACAATTCTGCACAGATTGACTCCTTACTTTCTTGTACCAAAATGAGAAATAAGCTCACCTCTGCCTGCTACCTTCTAGTTCTTTAGAGGGAGAATGAGGGTGAGGATGAGAGTGAGCTCTCTCCTGGTGGAGATTATGATCATGTATTAATTTATATGTATTGTTGTTATGTTGTTCTTACAGATTGTTGCCATGAGCCGGGTAAAACAATTGAAAGGAGGGAAGAAACCTCGGGAACTTTTTTTTCTGAATATCTTTTTTTTTTTTTTAATATTTATTTATTTTGAGAGAGAGAGTGTGTGAGTGGGGGAGGACCAGAGAGAGGGAGAGGGAGAATCCAAAGAAGGCTCCACGCTGTCAGTGTAGAGCCTGATGCAGGGCCTGAACCCACAAACCATGAGATCGTGACCTGAGCTGAAATCAAGAGTCAGACGCTTAACTGACTGAGCCACCTAGGCACCCATTTTTTCTGAATATCTTTAAGAAACTTGTCACCCGCATGACCCAACTTACAGACTCTTCTATCCTAAATATTCCTTGAAGTTCCTTTTGGTCCTAGAGTTCTATGATTCTAAAAGATGAACTGTTCTTTCTCTCTCAATCTCTCTCTCAAAATGAATAAACTTAAAAAAAAAAGATGAACTGTTACATTTCATCTCAAGTACCTAGTGGACGGAACAATTGCTTAGTCTCTCTCATTGTCCAACTCTATAAGATAACTGATGAATTATTAGTGATTAGGTGGAAGATTTCTTTGGGTCTTCATAACTGCTGATTGACCATGATCCAAGCCTTTGTTTTAAAATTTACCCTGTCAGGGAAGGTGAGAGTAAATTAGATACTCTGCAGGGGTACTTACCTTCTGAAATTCTGATCATAGCTAGCATATGTAAAACAGAATAATACTTCTAAAAAGAGTTACTAAGTATTGAATTTTTACTATGTGCCTGGCATTATTCTAAGTGCATTACTAAGTTCATTATCTCTAATTCTGACAAGAATGCTGCAAGAGTGCTATGTTTTACATATGCTATGTAAAAGAGCATTTCACAGATGAGGAAACTAGGGGTCACAGCTGGAAGGTGATGGAGCCATGGTTTGAACCCTAGTGTTTGACTCTAGGGCCCTTACTTGTTCAACTTTGTCACATGGCCCAGAATAAATAATGTGATCAAGTAAAACATCTAACTCTTGGGAAACCTTAGAGACCGTTTGATATGCACAAAATTAATACAGAATTGCGCAGATCAGCACAGTATGGAGCAAATGAGTGGGTACTTGGGTCCTGTTAGAGCTCTCTCTATATGAAGTAGGGTTGGCATACATAGAATTGTTGATTGCGTGAGCTTTGAGGATGGGAGTGCCAACACCATGAGTAGTCTGAGTTTCATATATAGATAGCAAAATGACATCACTGAAGTGTGAGAGGCAGTGTGTGACCCCTCCTAGGAGAAGGGGATGGAAAGAAATCACTAAATGAGAACCTTATGAGAATGCCAGAAATGTTGCTTCTCTGTGTCATTCTTAGTTAAAAGTCCAGAAGAGATTCCTAGTATGGTATTTTCTTAATAGATCAAGCGTTCGTAACTAATGAATATATTAGTTGGTAGTAATTTTAAAAGGTCAACTTATGGGTGATAGTGGGCGATTGATCTACTGGTTTTATGTCATTAGTTTTCCTTTAAAGTTGAGGTTCTCTTTTTCTTATTTTGCTCCTGAACCAGAAGCCTCTGACTCTTTAGAACTTCTGTTTGAAAATTATTGCTAAGAAATTTTGGATTTTAGCACTATACTTTTGTTAACCTTTTGGACCAATTTGAATTAAGGAAGACCATATTACAAGCTCTGTACAGTGGACTAAATGCATACAGGAGGGCAAGTAGAAGCAGTCAGGACAAGATGTTGTAAAACCATGCGGTATTGCTGATGTGATTCAGGTTCTGGATCCTGTATGGGTGTAAGTAACTTAACTTTGTGGATCCTCTTTTCTAAGAGGAGGATACAGATAGTATCTACTATACCTGGCTCTCTGGGCCATTGTGTTTCATTTATGTGAAAGGGCTTTGCAGAACATACAGATGCGATAGGGACATCATAATGTGACTATCTTAATCAGTTGGTTAGGTTTACTTCTTGCTAGAAGAGAAAGATTTGGGGGGAGACTCTTTGAGCCATTATTTAACTTCTGGCACGCAAATATATATCTATGCACAGTATCTTCCATTTGGGGGAAAAAAACCTCCAAAACTGTTGTTCCCTATTATAGCAGTTTAGAATGACCAAGCATTTTCAAAGTTAATTTTGAAAGATAAGGTTGATTAGGTGTAAGTGACCCTTTCAGATGTGTTCTTAATGCTTTGGTGTTAGCTGGGGACATTGAACTGCTTATTTTCTGATTTCAGACAGAGGACCCCAGTAAGTGCAGTCCACGATTTTGGGAGGAGCTCTTCCTTATGAAGGTAAACTTGATGGTATCTCTGGATTTTCCTACTAACGAAATTGCCTCCTCCTGTGTTCTACATGCGACACTAAAATGCACTCACATTAAATACAGTACACTGAAAATGTTACTAAAAATAATATCCCTGTTGTTCCCTTGGTAGGTGAATTTAGAGTACCTAGAAGGCAAGCTGGAATCTCTTGATGGTGAGGAGTTAATGAAGATCAAGGACAATATTAATTGCTTATTTCAACACTGTATCCAAGCTCTGGGAGAGGAACATCCAATTCGAGTTGTCAATGCACTACAGGTATATAGCTGGGTGACTGGGGAAGTCCTGTTTAATAGGGGAAAGGAGTTATAATACATCTGTTGGGACCTGAGGAACCTAAAATTGCCCTTAGGTATGAAGTTTTTTTTTTTCCCCTTTAAATAATAAACATCTATGCCATGTTTGTTGAGCCAGCTTCCTGGCTAAACAAATTGACACTTATACTAGTCATCTTGTTCATTGTATGATTTGATCTAAAGCCAAGACAGATGGACAGAATTCTTGATTATTTGAGGAAAGGAAGAGATAGAGGGGAAACTATGAGGTAGGGATAGTTAGTCTAGCAAAAATCAGAAGAGATTTAAAAAAAATTTTTTTTTTAATTTTCGAGAGAGCGAGAGAGCATGAACGGGGGGGGGGAGGGGCAGGGAGAGAGAGAGAGAGAGAGAGAGAGAGAGAGAGAGAGAGAGAATTTTAAGCAGGCTCCACACTCAGCACAGAGCCTGATGAGGGGCTTGACCTCATGACCCTGGGATCACAACCTGAGCCAAAATCAAGAGTTGGACACTCAACCGACTGAGCCACCCAGGCACTCCCAGAAGAGATTATTCTTAAAACAGTATTTTCTCACTAGATCAGGAGTTCTTAATTTGAGGTTTCAGAGGGTCCTTGACTCCCTGAAGTTATATGTAATATTTTAGGTGTATGTGGCTATTTTTTTCTGAAAAGAGAGCTTTCGCCAGATTCTCAAAAGGGTCTGTAACTCAGAAAACATTAAGAATCATTGTTCTTTTAAAATTTTTTTTTTTCAACGTTTATTTATTTTTGGGACAGAGAGAGACAGAGCATGAATGGGGGAGGGTCAGAGAGAGAGGGAGACACAGAATCGGAAACAGGCTCCAGGCTCTGAGCCATCAGCCCAGAGCCTGACGCGGGGCTCGAACTCACAGACCGCGAGATCATGACCTGGCTGAAGTCGGACGCTTAACCGACTGCGCCACCCAGGCGCCCCAAGAATCATTGTTCTTAATGCTAAGTCACATATTCATGGGAAAGATGCACTGAATAATTATTTCTTGAATGACTGTTATGTGCCAGGCATTGGGATAGTGGGGATACATTACAGGTTTCTTGAGAGCAAAGACTTTGTTAGTTTCATTCAGTACTTTGTTCCTAGTGTATAGTACAGTGCCTGGCAAGTAGGACTTTAGAAGTAAATTTTTATTGAATGAATCATGGGCAAAATTTCTAAGTTTATAGTCCAGTAACTCCGGTGCATCTTAGATCAGGCTGAGTAGCTAGGGCAGTGATTGACAAGCTTAGAATATGAAGAATCCATGACAACATAAAGGATTTTATTGGAAATTTTGATATTATTTTTTTATTTTAGAGAAAGAGAACATGCGGGTGGAGGAGAGAGGCAGAGTGAGAGAAAGAGAATCTTAAGCAGTTTCCCTACTAAGCACAGAGCCCGATGTGGGGCTCAATCCCATGACCCTGGGATCATGACCTGAGCTGAAATCAAGAGTTGGACGCTCAACCAACTGAGACACCCAGGCACCCCTGGAACTTTTGATAGATTGGGTTTAAGTTTCTAACTTCCTAGTTGGGCAAATCACTTTGTGAGCCCCAGTTTTCTCATCTGTAGATTGTAGAAATTACCTGTTGAGCTGATGTCCCAGAAAGAAGGACCATGTTTACCCTTTAGTTGTGTTAACAAAGTTAACAGTAGATTCTGCATTTTGGGTATTGCAGTTGTAGGGCTTCACTGAAAGCTGAAATGAAAGTTGGAAATTGTACTTCCTATAATTGCAGTAGCTCACTATGGAGGCATGAATGGTAAACTGTTTTTAGTTCAGTGGAAGTAAATTGACATGAAGTCACTTGGTAACCCATAAAAATATAGTATATTATTAAAATGGCTGATACTTGTTGAGCTTTAAAAAGTTTCAGGCACTATTCTTAGAGCATTAATAAAGTTCCAGGGACTATTCCAAGTGTTTTAATTCTCATAGTTCTCGCAACATCCCTATGAGATGGGTGCTATTATTGTCATTCCCATTTTATAGATGAGAAAACTGAGGCACTGAAAAGTTAACTAACTTGTCCAGGTTTACACAGCTAGTCAGTAGTGAATGGAGATTATAATGAATTTAAGATTTTTTTTCATGTTTATTTATTTATTTTGAAAGAGAGAGCAAGCGAGCGAGCATGAGCAGGGGAGTGGCAGAGAGAGAGAGAGAGGGAGAGAATCCCAAGCAGGCTTCATGCTGTCAGCGCAGAGCTCAACGCGGGGCTCGCAAGATCATGACCTGAGCCGAAATCAAGAGTCAGTCGCTCAACTGACAGAGCCTCCCAGGCGCCCCATGAATTTAAGATTTGAAGCAACTGGTTGTTATCATATGGACCAAAATAACTTTTGTAGTTATTAAAAAATACTAAGAATTATAAACTAAAATGTAAATACGGTAATGATTTTAAGTAAAGGAAAAAAGCTCCACCAATCCCATGACTCAAGCTCAAGAACTGTTGTTATTTTTGAATTCACCTTCCAGTCTTTGTCTGCAATGCAATTTTTGAAAAGAGGATGACTAAAAAACAACAACAAAAAAGATGGCAACAATTTCAAGTGCTGTTCCTCTTTTAATGTCTGGATTTTGCACGTAGTAAGACTCTGACTGTTTTGTTTGTTTTTTTTTTTTTTTTAATTTTTTTTTTTTTTTCAACGTTTATTTATTTTTGGGACAGAGAGAGACAGAGCATGAACGGGGGAGAGGCAGAGAGAGAGGGAGACACAGAACTGGAAACAGGCTCCAGGCTCTGAGCCATCAGCCCAGAGCCCGATGCGGGGCTCGAACTCACGGACCGCGAGATCGTGACCTGGTTGAAGTCGGACGCTTAACCGACTGCGCCACCCAGGCGCCCCAAGACTCCGACTGTTTTGAAGCTTAGAGTGATAGAGCAATTGAATGTCAGCTGTGTAAGGAGGAGGTTCTGAGGTGGCAATGTGAGGCGACAGATCCAGTGCCCTTCACGTTTTGAGACTTCCTTTCTACAAAAGAATTCTTTCTCTAATCTCTGCAGACCTTGTGTGCACTCATTCGGGGAGTCCATCAAAAGAATAAATCTACCTCTGGGTTTGACATCATCAACATGCTGATGGGCTTTGACAAGGCAGAGTTGTGCATGAAGGTGAGGCGTAAGTTGTAGATGTGCTTGTGGATGGCTGCTTCTGACAGCTGTTTGCGGATACCATCTGCAGACAGTTAATGTACTAGAAGATTGGCACTCAGGTGGATAGAAATGTTTGAATTTGTTCTTGAATTTGGATATTTTTGTTTTACAAATTTGTTTATCTGAATAGAGGAAAATTTGAAATTCAAATTTGAAGTATCCTTCCCCTGCAGGATAAAGACTGAGCAGTTTATTTTATGATTTGTATCATGTGCTCATACGTTCTTAAAAACACTTATGAACTCAAATAATGTATAACAAGGGTAATGTAATATACAGGGGTAACTTTAGTTCTAAACTTAAGTTTTCTTATTTACATAATGGCTTTACCAGAATTTTTATTTCTACTGTTTGACACTTTTAAAGTAATAGCTTTATTGATAGATAGTTCACATATACAATTCACCCTTTTAAAGTATGTAATTCAGTGGTTTTTTGTTTTAAGATTTTATATTTAAGTAATCTCTATATCCAACACCATGGGGCTCAAACTCACAACCCTGAGATTAAGAGTCACATGCTTTACTGACTGAGCCAGCCAGGCACCCCTCATTGAGTGGTTTTTAGTATGTTCACTGTTCAATTTTGGAACATTTTTATCACTCCAAAAAGAATACATGTTCCCATTAGCAGTCATTCTCCATTCCCCCTTCTCTCTAGCCCCTGGCAACCATTAATCTGCTTTATGTCTTTATTGGTTTACCTATTCTGGACATCTCATCTAAATGGAATCATACGTGGTCTTCTGTGTCTAGCTTCTTGCACTTAGCATAATGTTTTCAGGGTCCACCCGTGTTGTGGCATGTGTCAGTGCTTCATTCCTTTTTATGGCTGATACTTCATTTTATGAATGTACCACATCAAATTTATTCATTCATCAGTTGATAGACATGTGGGGTATTTCAGTATTTTGGCTACTATCAATAATGCTGCTGTGAACATTCATGAACAAGATTTTGTGTGGATGTATGTTTTCAATTCTCTTGGGTGTATACATAGGAGGAGAATTGTTGGGTCATATGATACCTCTATGTTTAATATTTCAAGGAGCTTCCAAACTGTTTTCCAAAGTTAGTATACCATTTTACATTTCCATCAGCAGTGTATAAGCATTCCAGTTTTTCCACATCCTCGTCAACAATTGTTTTTGTCTCTCATATATATATGTGTATATATATATGTATATATATATTTTTTGGGGGGGTAGAAATATTTATTCAAATCCTTTGCCCATTTCTAGATTGAGTTATTTGTTTTATATTGTTGAGTTGTAGGAGTTCTTTATATATTTTGGATAGAAGTCCCTTATCAGATATCTGATTTGTAATGTTTGACACTATCTTGAGTGAATGTTGTTTATAATATGAACTTTGAAGAACTAGTCTTCTGTCATTCTCTGAATTTGAAATAATCTATGTGACAAAGAATCCTTATAGCGATCAGATTGTTTTTTACAAGTTATGAACATATAGTTGTAAGTATATGAAGACTTAGTACTTGGAGTCAGTTTTCCAAGCCTCTACTGCTCCTATGTATATATCATGGTAAAATCTCAGATCTCGCTCTCATTCTGGTAGTTCTCACTATTGTCTATATGCTGCTGATTACTAAGTCTCTATTGTTAGTCTTAACATCCCCTCATGAGGCTCAGAGTTGTATACTCTGTAAGCAGTTGCTGAATTTACCCATTCATACATCCCTAAAGTACCTCTTGCTTGACATCTACAAAACGGAACTCCTTATTTTCCCTTCATCTGTTCTTCCTCATTCATTCCCTGTTAGAATGGGCTCTCCTGTCATCTCAGTCACCCAAGCCAAAAGCTGGAGTCATCCTTGACTCTTCCTCTCATCTTTCATATCCAGATGATCACCATGTTCATCTAATTTTGCCTCAGTTCATATTTTTCATACCTGTCTTTGCTTTTTTTCCCCTACTGCCAGTGTCCCCATTATCTCTCACCAGAACCATTTCAGTGATGCCTTCATTCATTCTTTTGACAAATGTTGGTTAGGCTCCAATGTGCCAGGCACAGGGGATACACAGGCAAATAAGACATGGCAGCTTCTTCAGAAAATTGCTAGATTAGTCCTCATTTGTCTCCCTCCCTTCAGGCTTACCATCTTTAAATCTGTCATCCACACTGATACCACAGTGATGTATCTTACACTCAAATCTCTGCTGCTTAAAACCCTTCATTAGTTTCCCATCAATAACAGGATAAAGACCAAACTCCCTAGTTAGCTTTATATAGCTTTCATGACCTGCTCCCTATTTATTTCTCTAGTCTCTCTCACCACTGTGTTTCCCTCTGTACTTTCATAATAATAAACTACTTGTGTTCCAACTCCACACCCAGGGCCGTTTCATTCCTCATGTGTCTTTGATCATGCTATTGCCTGTCTAGAATTCTTTTCCTCATCAAGTTTTAATTAACTCCTACTGATTTTCCAAAATATAACCCACCCCTTAGGAGTCTTGGAATAGGTGACTTCTGAGATAATTCCCCTTTTCCATGTATATTTCTGTCATAGTAACCATTCAATTAAAACTGCTTATTTTTCTCTTCCAGTAGACTAAAAATGCCTTGAGAGCAGAGGCCATTATCTAATTTTTCTTCTTGAATTCTTTGAAAGCACAATATTTAGCATATAGTAGACCTTCACCATATATTTGTTGAATTGAAGTAACTAATTTTGAACCTTCACTTGAGCTTTCAGCATGCTAAATCCTATTCTTCATTCATTCTCCTCCTTCATTTAATGTAAAATATTTCTTTTCTTATTCCTTCTGTTGTAGCGTGTGAGGGTTTCATCTTTTGATTACATTGGGTCTGAGAGCTGGTTGTTAGTACAAGTGATATACTCCAGTCACATTGTCTAGTAGAATCGACCAAGGTGGACACAGCTAGTTTTATTGGATAGTGTATACGGCCAGTGATGGCTAGTAGTGATATTGTCTCTTTGTTGTTTATTCAGCGTGCCTCCATCAAATGATATATTTTATCAGATAGTGAAACTTATCTATAGTTATTTGACCATTATTAATCTTTTTTAACCATTATTGGTCTTTAACCACTTTTTTTAACCACTTATTTTTTCCTAATGTAATTGAATTAATTTAATTGAATTAGTTTATTGTTTTTATTATTCAACCACTGTTATTAGCCTTTAAAAAATTTACTTCTATTAAACATTTAAAAAAATTTTTAGATTATTTTTGAGAGAGAGAGAGAGAGATAGCATGCAGGCAGGAGAGGGGCAGAGAAAGAGAGGGAGATAGAATCTGAAGCAGGCTCCAGGCTCTGAGCTGTCAGCACAGAGCCCAACACAGGGCTCAAACCCATCTACCATGAGATCATGACCTGAGCCAAAGCTGGATGCTTAACCACTGAGCCACTCAGGCACCCTTACTTCATTCTATTCTAAAGGTCATGAGAATGATAGGTTGCAAACATTCATTTGATGAAGTAGTGAATTCTTTATTATTCTGTGCTGTTGTTCTAAAGCATTTTTCCCCAAGTAGCTACACTTTGAAGTCTTACTTTTCTTTGTCTGATCTTGCAAGGGCTAGGCCTGAAGGAGTGATATGGTTGCTTCATTGAATGTTGTACACATTACCCTGTGTAACATAAACCCAGAGTTGGACAGAGACACAGTAGAGACGTTACTTGGTATGTTTTAATACTTAATGGATCTCTTTCTCAGAACTTGATGGAGAGTTTGGATTCATTGCTTTGTGCAGAAGGTTCTGAAAGTCTGAAGAGTTTATGTCTGAAACTTCTCCTTTGCTTAGTGACCGTAAGTGACCCATTTATATGTTTCTCTATCAAGGGTATTACAGTAGGAGCAAGCTTATTTGAATGCTTGAGCCCAAAGTTAGGAAAAGAGGAAAAAAAAATTCTCTGCTGGGGCATCATATCACTCCATTGCGTGTGAATGTGTAGAAGGAAGTTAGATGAATGGGCTTTCACTTCCTAGAAACTGCTCTTTGCAACCATTGGCATTTTTAGCCTATGGGATACATGATATTTCTCACTTTAGAGGTACTACCCCTGCAGAATTCTTGTCTTCTGAATTGTCAGATTTGCTCCTCATCAGATCTCATTTGGAAACAGTTTTTGTGATTCTGAATAGTTATTTGTTCTGATTTTGACATAATTGGAAGCTGGCCCATACCTTCTAGTGGGAGGAGGGCGGGGTGTTGTTCATTTACTTCAAGTAATTCCTTTTCCCTGCCATCACTCAAAGTCTTCTGGATCATAAACTTCTTTCTGTGCATTTGAGGAATGAAACCCCCCCAAAACTGAAGTAAATGCTTAAGTGAGGGTGTGAGAGAAACAGTACATTCAGAGATTCGGGAAGTTTTAATTTGCTCATTTCTTACCCTTCTAGTGTCTGACTATTAAGGCTCTGGCAGCTTCAGAGGTGCTTATTAAAAGTCTACTAAGTATCTAGTAGAATGTTTTAACATTTCTGATTCTCTTAGTGGGGGAGGAGTTATACTTGAGATAGTAGAGTGCCTCAGTAATAGCCTTTTAAAAAAATATTTATTTATCTTAGAGAGAGAGAGAGAGAGAGAGAGAGAACCAACGTGGGAGGGGCAGAGGGAGGGGAGGACAGAGGATCTGAAACGGGCTCTGTGCTGACAGCAGCGAGCAATGTGGAGCTTGAACCCCTGAATCATAAGATCATGACCTGAGCCAAAGTCAGATGCTTAACTGACTGAGCCACGCAGGCGCCCCTAAAAAGCCTTTTATTGCATTTAGGTGACAGATAACATCAGCCAGAACACTATCCTAGAGTATGTGATGATCAACAGCATATTTGAAGCAATTTTACAGGTAGGTCATTTCCCCCATCCTCTCTTTCTCTTTTGGGTAAACCGCCTCCTCAAATCTTCTCTGTCAGCATTCCTAGGAACTAGGAGTTAGCACTCATGCATTTCTGGTTCATGTTACAGATACTCTCCCACCCCCCAAGTCGCAGGGAGCATGGGTATGATGCTGTTGTCCTCTTGGCTTTGTTGGTGAATTACAGAAAATATGAGGTGAGTGGGCCCCTTAACGGACACTTATAATCTTTCTATAATCTTCCTAAGTGTGGCCACTCCTGGAGGACTTTAACATAGAAGACATGTTCTTGGTAAATGGTATATAGATTAACTTTGATTAACCAAATTCTAAAACTTCTATATTAAATGCTTGGGGCAGAGGGTATAGCCATTTAAAGGAATCCCGTGGTACAACTTCTAATAAAGTGAGTGAATATCCCTTAATGTAGTGGTTCCCAAACCTAGTTTATCATTGGAATCACCTAGGAACTTTTCAAAAAGAAGAAATTTCTGGGTTTTACTCTGGACACACTGAATCCAAATCTCTTGGAGGTAGGAACTGGGAATCTGTTGTTGTTGTTGTTGTTCGTGGTGGTGGTGGTTGTTTTTTATTCTCCTGTTGAGTATGATGATTAGCCAGGATTGGGAACCACTGACCTAACACATCTGTTTTGAAAGATTGGACTTTTGTATGTTGGATTTCCTTAATGCGGTCCACTTGTGTAAGTATCACTGTTGGTCTGGGAACTCTTTTTGATTTTAATGGAGAATTGAAGACAGAGCCTTACTCATGTCAGTTCTGGAATTCTCTTTGTTCCTGAGTTAATCAGGGACAGATTTACAAGTTTTTGAGATGAAGAGCAGAACTCAGAGATTTGTATTTGTATTTGATTTTATGCCTCTACTTGATTCTTCTTAAAAGGGAGAACACACGGAAAAGGAAGGTGGGGCTCATGGAAGACCAGGGGCCTCACTGGGGATTGCTTTGGAGGGATAGGAAGCATTTGGCACTGGGCTCTGGACACTAGGGGTTGAACCCAGAATCCAGGAGCTGCCTTGAGGTAACCTGACTTTCTTCACTTAGCGAGTAGCAGTGCTATGAGAAATGAGCCAGCTGGAGGGAGGCTTTTCGTTTGTGAGCTTCTGGATCCTCAGTCAATGATTTTCTTTTAAGATTTCTTTTCTTGTAATTTAATTTTTAAAAATGTTAATTTTTAATTTATTTTTAATGTTTATTTTTGAGAGAAAGAGAGAGGGAGAGAGAGATAGAGCACAAATGGGGGAGGGGCAGAGAGAGAGGGAG